ACATAACCCACAAGTAGAGATTTAATTACAGTTCTGAAGGCCCTTACTGTTATAATACTGGCAGTGCTTTCATAGGTTAAGTGATAATTAAATTTTAAATTCCATGGGGGTCAGGCAGTTTTTGAATTTGGTCCTTGCCTTCCCCCACCTCATTTCACCACAAAGGTTAATTTGGTTTTTAAAATACAGGATGATCCTAAACAAAGAATTATTTTGTATGCCGTATAAAAATTGTGCCTGTTTTTATTTGCTTCCTTGATTTAGCAATAATACATTTTCACATGAGTGTGCTTATGTATGTGCCTGCAGCATACATATGGCGGATTGGGAGGGCAAGTCTTAATTATTGTTAATGCATACTTAGTGCTAGGCTACTTTCTTACAGCTACTCCTACCAACCTCATCATTCAACAAGCTTTGGGGCCTTCTCCTTTCCTTGCCCAGCTGGTATGTGCTCTCTTTGTGAATGCAAACTCGTTTTAATATTAGCTTAAGCAAGGCGTAATTAGGAGCACAAATCTGCTACAAGAAAACAACACAATTCATTCGAAAGCCAAGATTCAATGACTTCTGGATTATCTGTTGTTAGACTTTTTTATATCCTCATTGCACTCCATTCCAGTAATTGAAAGCTGTCTGCATATTTAAGTATGCAGCTGTAACCAGCCTGCTAATAAACTCTCTCAGGCAAGCCCTGTTGTTTTGCAAGAAGAAATTGGATAGCTCGTCTCCCTTTTGCAGTAGAGGAGTATGAGATCCTTTCTAGAGTCCTCCTGTGATGGCTACAAGAATAGAACTCACTATACACTGGAGCTGAGTCACACAACAAGGGTGCTTTTTATATGGAGTGCTAGTTCTTATTTTCCATAACAATCTTTTCCTGAGCTTTGTCTTCATTCTTAACCATCTGCCATCTCCTTCAACAGGTTCATTTTGTTGTGAGACCTGGTTGATTTACCCACTTGTCAACACTGATTGGCTGAAATAAAAGTAACCACCCATTCTAAATTGTCTATAATCAACACACAAGCCGTTATATGAAATACTCTTTTATAGAACTGTGTGTGTCTTTGGTGGGTACGTGTACATGTGCATACAGTATTAGCAAACCTCAAAGTAAAATGTGTTTATAGTACATCACAGAGTCACACCATGAGTGGACATTATGCAGGCAGAGCACCTTCAGGCAGCTCTTCTCTTACATAACATCATCAGGGGTAACAAAATTCTAAAATCTATCATGCAGCTTCTAGTTTTCCAGCCTAATCTCATGGCACCCCTCCCAACCCTCTTCACCCCCATTGCCCTCCTCACACACATCCACTGCCTTCTCTGTATGCCTGCCACACTGGCAGAATCAAGTCCTTGAAATCTATGCCCCTGGCCACCTGCAGGTCTGCTTGGAATCCTGTTCCGCCCCATTGCAAGCTCTTTCTTCCTTATGCTTCAGGTCTCAAGTGATCTCTTCCTGTGAAACTTGGCTGTGGATCTGAATCCACATACACTTGCATAGGTTTTCAACTACAGCAAACAGATTTAAAGTCCTTCTTCTAGCTGGGCACCAGGGGTAAAGGGAGAACAGGAAAATTGTGTCAGAGGATCATCCACAGACCTCCAATAGCCTCATCGAGAGCACCTCCAAAGAAACTGACCCTGAAGACTTTCTCTAAACCACTAATGTCCTGGTGCCATCATCTAGTTTGCTGACTCTTTATGCCATTTGTACAAGTCTCTAATCATTTCAAGTTCTAAATTCCTTACAAACAAGATATACCTTACTATGAAACTGTTTACAAAGCCAACCACTGGGGTGAATACAATAGAAATACACAACCAATATCACTGTCAAATTGTCCATTGACATGCCTTTGGGTTGACTTCCATATGAGTCATAGAATGACATGATGAAATGCCTAAGAGAGTGTAAACTGCATAAATACAGGGACCTTTCTATCATGCTGAGCATTTTCCCAAGCCCTGGCATACTGTAGGCACTCAGTAAGTTTTATCAACAGAGTAAATGGGTGAATGAATAAATGAATGGATGATATAAAGGCAATACTGAACACAAGTCCTGCCCTAAGGGAACTTTTAGACATTGGAGATTTCTCATGTGCCTAGTGAATGTTATTTGTATTTTCTCATTTCTCCTTTTTGATATTTTGGAATGGAGTTTACATTCTTAGGTAGCCCTTGAAAGGCCTATAAACATATAAATGAGAACCTTTACCTGAGCAACTTAAAAAAAAAAAAAAAAAACACTGGAGGGTTGGTGTTGTTGCAGAGCAGGTTAAGCCACCACCTGCAAAGCTGGCATCCCATATAGGGGCTATATGAGAAAGCACATCGCAGCCATATCTACTACATATTTACCAAAGTTCTTGAACAAATGTTGATCACTGAAATATCCATATACATGGTCAAAAATACATGATGTCAAGCCTGTTTTTAAAATTTTGTATCTTGATTTTGAATTAGTTTTTAACATATTCAATGTGGTTTGTAGATACAGTTCTAACATAATGATCCCTTCCTCCCTCTCTTCATGATGTCAAGATTTAATGCTCACATCTGTCTTCCACTGAAGTGTTCCACTGAAACTAAGAGAGGGCCAACAGTGTGGTGCAGTGAGCAAAGTGATGATTTGAGTCTCAGCTGCTCCACTTATGATCCAGCTTGGGAAGGCAGCAGAAAATGGCCCAAGTACTCGGGCCCCTGCCACCCATGTGAGAGACCCAGTTGGAGCACCTGGTTCTGACCTGGATTAGCCCCACTGTTTTGGCCAACCAGGGAGAGAACTAGCAAATGGGAAGATCTCTGCTTTTAAAAAGAAAGAAAAGAAACTAAGATGGAGGACGGTTGTCTGAGAATAATATACAATCTTCTTAGAAAATCCTCCTTGTAAGACTATCAAAAAAGAAGACGAGCTTTTGCTAGTTCTTGAACCCCACAGACTTGCAATGGTGTTTTGGTTTGGGCACGGGCAGGGGTCAAGTTGAGAACTTGCGAAGGAAAGGTAACTGTGTCAGTCGGTGTAATACTGTCTTCCTAAGTTCTCTATCACCAAAGTGAGGCCATCTTGCTTTGCAAGTGTAGTGATCCCCAAGCTGCCTTCTGGAGAACAACCTACTTCCAAAGAGCCCATGGGCGGCCCTTAAACCAAGGATACTTACAGGTGCAGTAAAGGCATATCCAACGACTGACCCCTCAAGCACACATATAAAGTGGGAATTATCAAGAGATATTGGAAGAAAACCACCTGCACATGAAGAAAATGACCAAAATATGAATCAGTTGATCACAGAGGAAACAGATAATCCAGAGGATAAGCGCCTTGAATTTTTTAATTAGAATCCCCCAAAATTGAGGATTTGTGTCTGTTACACAACGGATGTTATATTAAAAAGGCACAACCAGCCAAAAACAAGAAATAGTTCTTGTAAATTAAAAATTCCAAGAAAGAACATTCAATAAAACAGCTCAATAATAAAAGAAACACAGCAGATGACCAAATTAAAAACCCAAGAAATGAAGTCAAGATAAGTTCCTGCAATGAAGATTTTAAAAGCTAAAGAAATTACTAAATAAGAAAGAAAAATAGGAGACAAAGAGAGTAGTAGGAGGGACACTGATATAATTTGGAATTATTGGCCTTGCATAACAAAGAGTCAACAGTGCTCTCCACCTGATGATAAGAAATAGAATTGTGAGTGTATCCTTTAAGGTGGTATGGCTACTGAAAGCAACTAAAAGCACAGCATGTGAATGGCACCTGCCTGTAGGACATAAAACTGGAAAACTGCCTCTGGGATAACAGCTCCTTCTGTGCCCCTGCTTTTTTTTTTTTTTTTAAAAAAGCATTGGAATATATCTTTTCTAATATTTTTCATAAGGATACTCTTAAAAATTATAATCCATTAACAGAATTGAGACACCATTCCCATCTCTTCTAAATCCTCACCACCCAAGGAATTAAGGAAAGTGAAGACTGAAATACTTTACACCAAAGTGAGGGTCTCTTGTAACAAAAAGAAGCCAGAGAAAGATCTTATCCTGCTATGTGTCCGGGGCTGTCCAGGGGCTCTGGATAAAGAAACTACTCTTGCAGAATTTGCATTCTTCCCTTAGCACTATAATGACAGAGTTATTACTTTGTAGTTAACAGACTTGGTGCTATTTTAACTGAGGAATGTGTTGCACAGGTGAGGATAGGCCATATTATCTCCAGAAGAAAAAAAGTAAATATTTCACAAGGAAGAGGTGTGTTGACTGTTAGGTAACATCATGTGCAATTCACCATTCTCCACTTCACTCCACACGAAGAGATCTTCTCAGGAGAGGGTGGGGCGGGCAGCCAGGTGTGAAGGATTTAAAACTTCAAGTAGAGGAGAAGATAAAGGAGATCTCGGCAGAGAATGAGGGCGCTGCCATGAGAGACTAGACTGGGTGGCACCTTTATATGGTGCATGGGAACAAGTTAGCCAGCAATCAACTCTCCAGTCATTAGAGTTTGCTGTCTGGGGTTGCTTAATAACATCCTCAGGTAGATATAATGCGGTCCCCTGCCTCAGAGTTTGCTAAAACTTGGTCCTGCAGCTGTTTGACATAGAATGCTCAGGAGCAGGTCTGCTGATCAGAGGACACCTTGTAGGTTCACGGAAAGAATAACACCCGAGCTTCAGAACATGCCAGTGGCTGGCCAACTACCTTCTCTTTTCTTTAGCAGATCTTCCAGACCCTCCGCTGTCTCCCAACATGACCAAAAAAGGAAGAGCACCTACAACGTGAGCTAGAATATATGTCTGCTACCAGCAGATCAGAGATGGGGAGTGCTCATAAAAGAATCTAGATTACATCTAAACAAAACCAAGAAATTCCATTGTCTCTGCATATACAAGGACAAGTGGGAGTTAACTTTTGTGAACCTATGGCATATGTTTAATATTACTTATTGAGGCTGCATATTTCATGGTGCACTGATCTTTTGAATTATTCCTCAGGATCCTGCGGTACCAAGTTGGAGCTGGTGTGAAAGACACTCATTTGGAGGAGATGAGAAATGAGGCCAGAGAGATTTTTGAAAACTGCCTCTTGAGTCATCCCAGAACATCAGAGGGGGTCAAGGAGTGTACAAAGGTAAGAGATGTGCACAGAAGAAAGGGCTGAGGAGGAGAAGGCTTTAAGGAAAGGAGTGAAATAATCAGGTCTGAGTTTCAGCAAGATGCTCCTGGCAGTATTTGAATAGTGCATTTGAAGGGAGACTCAGAGACAGGGAGCTCAGTTGGCGGCTTCTGTAATTACTCAAGTAACAGATGTAGTGACCATGGCTGAAAGTTACCCATTGGGCACTACTTCAAATCCTCTCTGCCCCATTCTTCACTCCCATCACTGCAGAGGTCCCCATTTCTGCACAGACTTCAAGTGGCTCTGGACAGATGTAGACTGAGAGTATATTCCTGAGCAAGAAGTCAAGTACTCCTGCTTCTTGAGCAGTCTTCTCTGATGTTGCTGTATGGAACTCCCCCAGAAGAACTACTCTGTAGTCTCATGTGTGCAATGCACAAGTATCAAGGTGCTAGTGCCCATAGTGCCACACTTGAATGATAGTGCATAGGAATCCCCTGCATGGTCTGATGCATTTCATGAGGCTCCAAAAGAGCCTTCAGGATCAAGGATTTGTGGCAGTGGCCCACTCATAACATAACCTTAATTCAGCTCTTGCACCTTCCCTGTTCATCCCACAATCCCTCCTGCTCCCTGAGGCCACTCTCAAATCAACCACTATTCACAGGACTTGTCTTGGGCTTTGTTTTTGTGGAACCCAGGCTAAGGCAGATAGTCACAGAAGCTGATAACTCACATGATACTGGGGTCAAGGAAAAGAGGAATGGAGCTTCCATTATGAGTGATGGAACTGCCAGGGGCTGGGGCTGTTGTGACTATGTCCCTCTCCAACACACACACATATGCACACACATGCACACATCCATATACCTCTCTTCTCATCTCTATATGGCTACCAGTGTTATTCTTCTACATGGTAACCATGTGAGCATATGACTGTTGGAGTTGTGGCTGCAGCCACTGCCCATTGTCAGCAGAGTTTGGTATTCCATATCACCAATCCAGGAAAATATAAAAATTAAAAATGTGAATGCATTTCTATCAAATATGCATCAATTTCACACCATTGCAAAGTCAAAACTCCTAAGTAGAATCAGAGTAAGTCAGGAACTAAATGTACCTCCTCTGTGTAATTAGATACATTATTGTAAAATCTAAAGCATTTTGATCCTGCAAACAACACATTTCTTTATAACTCATACACTAGAAGTTGGAGTAAGACAAATGAACACAGAGGCCAGCATTCTCCACGCATAAGTCTCCAAATGGTAGAAAGTCTACAAATGGTAGAAAATTTCAACTCTGCTTCATTTCAGCCCTCCACCCATTTATTTTCTCTTGTCCAGGTTACAGAGATGTGATTCCTTTTGGTAATCTACAGAGTTCATACCAGAAAAAATTGCTATGTTAAGAATCATGTTTTTGCTTTTTGCTTCATTCCTATTTTTGCAGCAAGCTCTCATTTTTCATTTCTTTCTATACTAGATACCACCTCTGAGATCTTCAGGAGGTGACTTCCTTGTCCAAATGTTGTGAATCCCTTACTGTCGGCCCACTTTTGCCCAGAAATATCTCTGTAACCAGAGAGGGTATGAAAGCATTCATAGCCTTTAAGAATTCTATGTTCTGCGTTCAAGGTCAGTTTCCCAAAGAGAGAGTGGGGGCTACTGGGGCAAGCTGCCAATGGAGCTGGGTAGAAAGTAGCTGGATGAGATGCCATTTTTCCACATGCAAACAGTGGCAAAGAGATTTGTTTATGCCTTGTCATGACTAGACAACCCAAATACCACCAAGCCTGCATCAGCAGTTGGGTCTGGGTTTTGTCATTGTCAGTCCCCCTGGTATTCAGAAGAGCTGCTGGCTCAGGAGGGCCAGCAGAGTTTAATTTCCAAATGCATCTGAAATCCTTTAAGCCCTTTGTTGGAGCCATTGCAAAATCATAGTGGGTATAAGCCTTTTTTCCCTTCAGTGGTTGCATCACAGTCACCAAGACAAGCACAACTGGCTCTCTCTCCAGAGAAACACTGGCATCCATGGTCCAAAGGTAAAGCATGCTGGGCCCTGGCTTGTTGAATTGCATTTCATTAGAGAGCCCAAGTGAGCATAGGCTGAGAGCAGCAGCCCCTCTGGGGAGTGGGAAGCAAGTGCCCTCTCTTTCTCCAGGGAAGGCAACAGCATATGGTATTCTGCCTGTGACACAAATGGTTAATTTCCACCAGCTTTTCTGTTGTTTCAGCAACTCTGGGATTAGAAAGGACAGGTTCTTTGCAATTCCCTCCAATATCTCACAAAGTTACTTTCCAAGTCTGCTTTTGTTCTGCTGATGCTCTTTCAGCAGCTTTGTTTTGCTAGGGCAGTAAACACTTGGCTTGGGATGGAATGGGATTTCACTGCTTTGATTTTCCTGTGCCTTTACCCAGGGTCTCCGGAACAATTAGTTTGAATCTTGAACTAGCTAGTGGTAAATGTTTCTCCTTTACATGCACACACAAACAACTTGCTTGCAGCTCTCTCTCTCCACTCCTTTCTGCCCTTCCATGTAAAGTTATTGTGGAATCATATTCGTGCATATGGAATATGAATCAACTAAAGCAAAGGCAAGATATTTGACAGAGTCGGTGGCAGTGGAAAGTTGTGTGTGTGTGTGTATACATGAGAGAGAGAGAATATTCTCCCTAAATTCTACAGGCCCAGTTGTTAATACTATTCCCATTTTATAGAAATTGAGGCGTAACTTGCTTGACTCATGACTATGTTACAAAATTATGCTTGATATGATTTCCTAATGCCTATAAGTAAAATGCTCCCATCTTTTTCTCAGCATTATCTGTGTAATCATGTCAGTGTGATTTCACTGTACCAAGTCCTAAGGCTGATAAATAATAATAGCTACAATTATTAAAATTTTTAATGTATTAGATGCTGTGCTTGGAGCTTTACGTACATATCCCACACAAAATTGCATGGCTGAAAATAATATTATTATTCACCATTTACAGACACCAAAACAGAAGGTAGGTACAGGTGTTGTTGCATGGTGGGTTAAACCTGAATCCCCTATGGGAGTGCCAGTTTGAGTCCTGGCTACCTCACTTCCAATTTACCTTCCTGCTAATGCATCCTTGGAAATACTAGATGATGGCTCAAGTGCTTGAGTCCCTGCCACCCCTGTGAGAGACCAAGATGGAGTCCCAGGCTCCTAGCTTTGGCCTGGCATAGCAAAGCATAATGGATGCTAAGGGCAATTGGGATTTGAGAAGTGAACCAGTAGATTGAAGATAATTCTCTCTTTCTTTCTCTCTCTCTCTCTCTCTCTCTCTCTCTCTCTGCCTTTCAGGTTGGTGAAAATAAACTTTTTTTAACAAAAGAAAACAGAATGTAATATTGTTAAATAAGTAATTCACTCCAGATCAGTGGGGATTTATAATTGTAACCCAAAGCTTCTGATTATAGTCTAAAACCTTCTCAGAGCCTGGTCCATTTGGTCTTCTGATTTTCTTAGGAAAAGCCCAAGAAGAGAATAGTTGTTTGATTATTTTCCAGTTTTTCAGAGTGTGAGTGCCAGTACTTCATTTCTAATGTACATACAGATGTATCTATTCAACATAGGGGAAAAGTGAGTTAGAGATAAATACTTCAGGGAAGCTGAAACAAAAACTTACTGAGGTTGTTATATGCTGGGTACTACGTTGGGTACAAAGATAAGATTCCCTGCTTTCAGGGTATCCACAGTCTCCAAAGGATAGAAACTCTTGGACACATATTTGGAACAGAATGCAGTGAGTCTGGTGAGGGGCCGTTGCATACATTGCCACACAATGTAATTGAGCCTCTGGGAGATCCCAGTGCTGACTACTCATCGTTTCCAGATACTGAAATTTGCACAGCTAATATAATTTCCGAAGGCAACAGTGTCACCAGCAGTTCATGAAAATGGGAAACAAACAACTGTAGCAAAAAAAAAAAAAAAAAAAAAAATGGGGGGTGGGTATAAAGGAACTAGAACTTCCTAGTCAAAACGTTTCTGAGGCTCCCACCCCTTGCTGAAGAGCAGAGCTACTCAGCCAAGTTATCCACATTACAAGTCCACAAATGGGCTGGCCAGACAGGATCCCCTTCCAAGGACACCCAGCACAGAGTATGCTGAGAAGGCAGAAAGTTGGGGAAGCCTCCCTCACAGCCCCAGGGGACTTGACTCAGGTGGACACCAAGTCCCGAGGGAACCAGTGAGAGCCTCTTCTGCAAAATTTGCACCACAAGACCTGCAGATGATGGCCTTTGCTTATAACTGAGACTCAAGAATGGCTATACTGGCCGGGCCATGAGAAGAGCAACTGAATATAGGACACTTGGGAGGAAAAGTGAAGGGAGAAACAAATAAAAAGGAGTACAGACAAGAGAGCTTACAGTCCCTGGAAAATGGAAAGAGAGCCCTTGAAATCTTTCTACTTCACTTGGGTTTCAGTGAGGTCTAATTGTACTTTCCTTTTTGAGTTCTGCATCATTTTCCTGTCTTGTTTTTACTAAATTCTTTTACAGTTGCTAATTTTTGTAGGTTTATGTTTCTTTCTACCAAAAGGTCCTTGACTAGAACACCTTCAACTCTTCTCGATGGAGTCATAAATTGACCTTTTTAATCTACCATTTCACTTTAGGATTCAGACTCAACCAAAACTACTTATTTAGGCCTTTGCTGCTTCTATTTCTTGGTTATAAGTTCTCTCTGCTCTAAAAGCCCATCGCCTACATGTTCAAGTGTCCACCTGCCAGCCAGCCTTTGAGATCCAGGGAGAAACTCCCCCCAGGGGCTTCTTTGAACCCTCCAGGCTACAACCAATCTCCTTTCCTCCATCAGGCTTTTCATGTAGGTATCCCAGCTCTGGTGTTTTCTTCCTTCTGTAGAGCTCTCAGTAGAGCTACCTTATCTCTTGTAATACAGATGCTTCTCAACTTATCATAAGGTCACATTCCAATATAAACCCATCGTGGGTTGAAAACACCACAAGTCAAAA